TAAACAAATTTATTATTCAAATACAAGGAGAGGTTAGACAAACTAACTTAACGAATGAAAAAAAATTGAGCTTCAATATATTCCAAGCTACAACATAAACAAAATAAACTTAGTCAAAAAGGAACATATTTGACATCACAGATTATTTTAAATTGATTTGTTTACCAATTTCAACAAAAACAAACCCCTGAACACCTTCTGATAAACTGTTCATTAACTTCTGATCTAAGGGAAGAAAACCAACTTTACCTGACTAATACAAAACAAGTTTCTTACAATAAAGACCAAAACATTAAGTTTAATAGATTCTGCAGGATGTATATTTTAAGGCGAAAGTATTGACTGTACATATTTCAATCTACTATTTCTAATTGCTATATGCAAAATTTGACATCGAACGTTTAATATTCATGATTCCTAATGTTCGATTGTGTTAATTGTATATAATTTAAGATATACACGCAATTATCCTAATTGTGGATATGGCGTGTCTATCCCAACTGTTAAATAAATAAAATTGTAATTTAAATTTCAGAGGATTATTTCGTTAATATATATAACTAGCCGAATGACCCGGGCAACGCCCAGGTTTTACCCGATTAAATGTTTTTATTCAAATACTATTCGTTACAATTATAAATTGGCGCCGTGGATGTCACTCTTGTGAAACGTCCCGCTCCAAACTTTGTGTCAGAGAAGCGATATTTTTATAAAGAGATGATCTGGCTTTGTGTCTTCTGCTCGAATGAATGTTTTTCTGTTGGAATTTTGTTCCTGCACACTAAAATTAACTGGTTTCATTCGTGGTCTCAGCTTTTTGGAATTTTTCCCGATATAATTTTGTATCTGATAATCAAACATGATACAGCAATATTGTCATTATCAAATAAAAAATATTAAAAAATAAAAATCAAATAAAAAAACAACTATTTTTGCCCAGAACCTGTCAATTTTATTTTTTATTGGCTAAAAATCCGATAAATATCTTTTCCAGATTTTTCTCTATGTCCTGTCAAAACACGTTTTACATGTACATTAGGTCAGCTGATATTACCTCCCATCTTCACCGCTAGAGGCGCTGCTTGCGAGCGAAAAGGCAAATTTGCAACGCAATTTGCAAATAACTCGAAGAATATTCGGAATAGAGACCTGAAATTTTCAGTATAAGTTTTTTCAGATTCTACTCTATATACTGTTAAATTTTCAGTCAGATTAGTTACGTATTGTGGACGGGTATAGCCGACATAGATATACACACATACATACATACATACATACATACATACATACACTGACTTTTATATATATAGGGATTTAACAATTACACGTATTGTTTTTACCAATTTCTTTTATTAAGATTGAATTTTTACTCTCTGGCAGGTATGCATTATTTATATTGGCAGTGTAAATATCAGGTAAAATCTTTTTAACAACTCTTTATCACATGTTGACAAATGTTTCATTCCATAAATCTGCCAAACATTATTCCAAAGCCAATGTTCCCCTTACTGTCATTTAGGTCGCTGCTACAAAAGAATGGACCATCAATTTGCATAGATTGACCTTTTGTATTCTATGTCACCCCATATGACAAATACTTAGTATCTTGGCCATGACATTTAAAAATAAATATTAATAAACAGAATCAATTTTTGTGAGAATAACCTATACGATATTGTGGCAAAGAAATATTTTTTTATTTAAATTAAATATTCAATGAAAATATTTGGAAACAGATTAAAATTTTTACATTTGATAAATCATCATTAAGTTACCTAGCTTGCTTGCTCGATATTCTCTAGCTGTAGATAGTTTGGTTGATAATTGTCGACTGGACGTACTGACGTCATCAATAAATACTTTCACATCTTCAGATATACAAATGACTCCCGATACTTGCAAAAGTCCAACCCTACCAGCGAGTGCAAGTAACCAAACGGGGCTATGGCACATTTGTAAGTGCAAAGTCGAACTGCTTTTCACATGTGTAGACATGTGGTGCACTTACAGTAAAAAGCAGTCGCTAACTACCCACCATGATTATCATGGCCTGTACCACGTGTACTAGGGATAAGAAAAAAAAAGATATGCAAAGACTTGATTTCTAAGCTACAATATTGTCAAATACTTAACCATAGTAAAAATGCTCTGAGAGAACAGGAATTATGCTAGCCATTAACCTATGACTGGTTGAAGAGAAAATAATAGATAGTATTAAACAATCCAATCTATTTCTATGAATTTCGTTCCGATTTACCATTTCATTCTCAAACTTTCAGAGTTAATTATTGTTTGTTTTATACTCAACAACAACAACAAAAAAGCCTTTATTTAGGGTCACTGACCCTATACAGGATTCACCAGAGGTATGCATAAGAACAAAGCAGTGAGACAAAGGAAATAACGATATATGCAGAGTAAAAAGAGAAAGAAAAAAAAAACAAGAAAAGGAAAAAAAAATAATTTATTTATGCTTATGAGGTGATACAGCAGCGTATTTACAATTAGAGAGGAGACAAAATTAATTAAATCTAGAAAAAAGAAGTGAGGACATATCGGTCATTAAAGTCTGAGAGGCAAGACCTTCAGCCAGTTCAGGGCTTCCGGGGTGACAGAATGGAGATTGGAGATTCCTCCATTGAATTTGTACAGCGGGCAGTCATCTATAATAATAATAATAATAAGAAAGAGGGAAGCAAGAAATCAACACAAAAAGAGTAGCAGTAAGAAAGTGAGGAGTGAGTATCACTTGGCCTTCTTCTCAGATATGGACTTGTGGAAACCATAAAACGCCGTAGCAATATACTTATTCTGGGTCATATTGTCAATTATTGATGGAAGTGAAGCACAGAGTTGCCCAGTTTTGAGCATAAGGGTTCTTCTTTCTTCTTTCAGAGCAGAGCAATCAAAAATATAGTGGGTGATATCATTTTTTAGTTTTGAATTACAGAAGGTACAAGTCGGGTCCTCACCGCAGAGCATCTTGGTGTGGTTTTCTCTAAAAAAACTTGAAAGTTTGTTTTATACTCATGAATAAGGGCAGAGATGCCCAAAAGCTTGACAATGCATTAATAAAATTCATCTCCAGAAACCTGTTGCATTATTTGAATTAATATCCAAAATATTTCAACATATATTGTCATAGTTTGTTCATCTTTACTTTTAATTACAGCCATTCTTTATGAAAAGCTAAAGACAAATCGGGAGAATCTTCAATTTTAGAAAAATAAAACGAAGATTGAAGAAGAGTATTTTCGTTTTATTTTGCTATTTTAACTAGAAGAGTTTAATTTAGTCAATCTTCAATTTGACATTAAATATTTTCTTCATTTGCGGTGAATCCGTGGTAAATCCATGTGTAATAAATTTCCTCTCCTCCAATTTACCCAGACTAATCTATTAGCCTGATTGGCTTTATATAATTTTTCCTGTATATAAATATCATATTACCATTAAGGTACTATTACTATTGTTCCTGTATGTATCCTACATTTCTGCTTGGAGAATCTGTATAAGACTAAAAGGTCTTACTAAAGCTTTTTGTTGTTGTTGATTACTGGTACTATTACTGTTGTTCCTGTATCTATCCTACATTTCTACTTGGAGAATCTGTATAAGACTAAAAGGTCTTAATAAAGCTTTTTGTTGTTGTTGATTACTGGTACTATTACTGTTTTTTCCTGTATGTACCCTACATTTCTGCTTGGAGAATCTGTATAAGACTAAAAGGTCTTAATAAAGCTTTTTGTTGTTGTTGATTATTGGTACTATCACTGTTTTTCCTGTATGTATCCTACATTTCTGCTTGGAGAATCTGTATAAGACTAAAAGGTCTTAATAAAGCTTTTTGTTGTTGTTGATTACTGGTACTATTACTGTTTTTCCTGTATGTATCCTACATTTCTGCTGGAGAATCTGTATAAGACTAAAAGTTCTTAATAAAGCTTTTTGTTGTTGTTGATTACTGGTACTATTACTGTTTTTCCTGCATGTATCCTACATTTCTGCTGGAGAATCTGTATAAGACTAAAAGTTCTTAATAAAGCTTTTTGTTGTTGTTGATTACTGGTACTATTACTGTTTTTCCTGCATGTATCCTACATTTCTGCTAGAGAATCTGTATAAGACTAAAAGGTCTTAATAAAGCTTTTTGTTGTTGTTGATTACTGGTACTATTACTGTTTTTCCTGTATGTATCCTACATTTCTGCTGGAGAATCTGTATAAGACTAAAAGTTCTTAATAAAGCTTTTTGTTGTTGTTGATTACTGGTACTATTACTGTTTTTCCTGCATGTATCCTACTTTTCTGCTTGGAGAATCTGTATAAGACTAAAAGTTCTTAATAAAGCTTTTTGTTGTTGTTGATTACTGGTACTATTACTGTTTTTCCTGCATGTATCTTACATTTTCTTTCTGTTTCTCTTATAATAAAGCTTTTTGTTGTTGTTGATTACTGGTACTATTACTGTTGTTCCTGTATGTATCCTACATTTCTGCTTGGAGAATCTGTATAAGACTAAAAGTTCTTAATAAAGCTTGTTGTTGTTGTATATCTGAAAATCGTGCGTATAATATTGACAATTTACATTTCAGAATTCCATTTTGGTCTTCTGTAATCTCTGAAACTGAAGGTAATATTCCAAGAAATATCGTTAAACCATCGCAATCAATAATGTCAGAAGGTTATTTTAAAAAAGAAGGATTTTCCTCCTTCGGTACATCAAATAAACCCGGAACTTTGGTAAAAAAACATTCTTTTTTTATATTCACATTCAATATCACATAAATTTTTAGTGTACAAGAATACCTAATTCAAACAATTTAATAGTGTGTGACCTTTCGGCAGCAGCATTGTTACCATCATCAGACAAAAGAATAAATGAGAAAAAATATCACAGAAAGTTCTTAAATAGTACTGTTATCAAGTGTTTAAACAAGATATCAGATAAAAAAAATAGTTTTTTAAGACAACTTGAAATATTCTTCTTAGAATACTCGAGTCAGATTGGCCGAGTGGTCAAGACGCCAGACTTAAGTTCTGACCCCAGAGAGAAGGCGTGGGTTCGAACCCCACATGTGTTGCGAAGGCAATGATTAAAAATTTGTTTTTCAACCATACATGAAGATGCAACAAATACAATACGAAAATATGTAAATAACAATTTCATAGATATATACGAATTATTTACAACATAATTATGATTTCATATACTTTCTTAATATAAGAGAGGAAACAGGTATACATTTATAACGTCAAATGGCAGAAAAACTAAATATTACATAACATTTTATCACTAAAGTTGGCCATTTTTCTATGAAGATTTATAAAGATGGGGGTTTTCTGTAGATAACGAAATAGACTAATGATCCTTGTCAGAATATTTGAAGATAAAATTATACAGAGATGTCCTCACTTCGACAATAAAATTTATTAATTTCGTCCATATTTAATCTGCAATAAAAAAAAGTTGACAAGTGTGATCTAATTCCATATTGAAGAGCGGGGCGTAGTTGTTATGCTAGAAGTCCATCTGGATGACAAATGTCGCGTCGGATTGTCTCCTCTTCCGACTTCCTAATTTATGGATCTTCTAACTAGGTTCTTCTTCTTTGCCTGAAGACATGTCTTAATGGCTATGCTATCCTTAGGGTACGGTAGTTCTTTTTTACGTTGTTGATTGAGGTTCGGTGGAAGGATGGTTTAAACCGTTGGTTTTCGACCTCAACGACCCGGGTTCAATTCCCGCATTGGACACTTTTTTTTCTGATAAAAAAAAAAATTCTCCAATGGCTCCGGATTCTTGAAAAAGTCCAACCCCACCAGCGAATGCAAGTAACCAAACGGGGCACTGGCATATTTTTAAGTGCAAAGTCGAACTGAGTTTCATATGTGTAGACATGAGGTGCACTTACAGTAAAAAACAGTCGCCTAATTCTACACACCATGATTATTATGGCCTGTAGCACGTTTATTAGGGATAAGCAAAAAAAAAAACGTTGTTGATTGAGATTTTTCTACAAGGGGTTCTGTGATGCCTGGAGTATAGGAGCTCCATCTATGTTTCCTTTCTTTCCTGTGGTGAATCTGTATAAGACCGGTGGTCTTAAAGATTTGTGTGTGTATCATAAACAATGTGCTGCACTGCCTGGAGTACAGGAGCTTCATCTATGCTTCCTTTCTTCCTGTGGTGAATCTGTATAAGACCGGTGGTCTTTTTTTTTTTTTTTGCTTATCCCTAGTAAACGTGGTACAGGCCACCATAATAATAATGGTGAGTAGAGGTAGGCGACTGATTTTACTGTAGGTACACCACATGTCTACACATGTGAAAAGCAGTTCGACTTTGCACTTACAAATGTGTAATTCTAATTTTGTGAAAAGCCAAAGATGTTAATTTCAAAACTTAGATGAAGTAAGAGATTTTTCTGAACGAATTTCCCTTTTTTCTTAAGAAATAGGAATGCCGATTGGTGAAACTTTAAGATTTTCTGTTAGAATCTTATACTTTATAAGGCATTAGAAAGCTATCTTTATATGAGAAAAAAGCTATCACGATTTTTTTCTTTCAAAAGAGAACTTTTTTTGAGTTCTTGATGATTGTAGGAAAAATATGGGAAGGGTTCAGTGAGTCACTATTCATCAGGGTCGGTGGAAGGATGGTCTAAACCAGGGGTGGCGAACCTTTTTATATTAGAAGGCCAATTTTCATTTTACCATTTTTTGAGAAGGCCGCATCCATATATATGTATATATGGAAGCAATGGTCGCCTCTCCCGTCAAAATAAACGTCAGAATCTGACGCCATCTATTGACCGTCGCCGCAACTAGCGGCATCGGGTCGGTGACAAAGCCACAACACCAACTTTGGCAAACTGATAAGCGTCCACCTAGAGACCATGGTTTCGGGCTAATGGCCCTCGTCAGTCTAGGGCGGACTTTATTCCATGAGATCCACACGGGATCTAATGGAAACCTCACAATCTACCAAAGAGGTGTTTTGCTGGCAATGTGGCTGGGCCAAATCTATTGGCAAAACATAGATGGAAAATAGTTAGTCCGCCCTAGACTGACGAGGGCCATTAGCCCGAAACCATGGTCTCTAGGTGGACGCTTATCAGTTTGCCAAAGTTGGTGTTGTGGCTTTGTCACCGACCCGATGCCGCTAGTTGCGGCGACGGTCAATAGATGGCGTCAGATTCTGACGTTTATTTTGACGGGAGAGGCGACCATTGCTTCCATGGATTAATTTCCTCCCGGCAAATTTTCCATCTATATATATATATATATATTTATATATATAATTAAAAAGGCATATATTGGATCAAAAATATAATATATATATATTATATATTATATAATATATGACATTCGTATTAGATATTTTCAATAAAATAATGAAAGTAATTGAAAACTGCGAAACAAAAATTATAATTTTGAATTTATGAAAAGGCCACAACTTGGGCAAGAAAAGGCCACATGCGGCCTTAAGGCCGCAGGTTCGCCACCCCTGGTCTAAACCGTTGGTTTTCGATCGCTACGACCCGGGTTCGATTCTCGCATTGGGCACTTTTTTTCTAATTAAAAAAAAAATAATGCTCCAAAGGCCTCCGATTCTTGCAAAAGTCCAACCCCACCAGCGAATACAGGTAACCAAACGGGGCACTGGCATATTTGTAAGTGCAAAGTCACACTGCTTTTCACATGTGTAGACATGTGATGCACTTACAGTAAAAAGCAGTCGCCTAATTCTACCCACCATGATTACCATAGCCTGTACCTCGTGTATTATGGATAGGCAAAACAAAAGCAGAATCGTTATATCTGCTATAACCTTTAAAGGTGCGAAGATTCCGTAAAAACATTCATAGATGAATGCTAAATGATAATGGAGACTATGCTGTTAACAATGTGGTTAGAGATAAGTTGGCCACGTGTATTAGGGATAAGCAAAACAAAAGCAGAATCGTTATAGCTGCTATAACCTTTAAAGGTGCGAAGATTCTGTAAAAAAATTCATAGATGAATGCTAAATGATAATGGAGACTATGCTGTTAACAATGTGGTTAGAGATAAGTTGGCCACGTGTATTAAGGATAAGCAAAAAAAAAAAAAGTCACCAGTATTCACTATCTTTTAAGGATTTATTAAAACATACGACATCCCGACAAATCAACACGATTTCGTACTCTGGCTGGTGTGGCAGTGTAAACGCCCATCCCATGGAACATCGTAAAAACATGTGACATCCAGATAAAAACGTCTTCCTGGATTTCAAAACTTGTCCCCAATCTTCCTAGATCCCTCAGGCGTGGACGGAGGAAAGCTTATGTTCTCTCTAACCTCTTCATTCAATCTGTCACTTTCCTAAACATTCTGATCCATCGGTGAACTTGCTTTTCTTTTTATATTAAACTAGCCGAATGACCCGGGCAACGCCCGTGTTTTACCCGATTGAATATTTTGATTCAAATACTATTTGTTACAATTATAAATTGGCGCCTTATATAAATGCATATGTTAGTTAATAACTATAGCCTATGTGCTTTATCTGTCTATGTACTGTTGGCTTCCGTAGGCGTCTCTTACTGGGAAAAAGAAAGAGAGGATTCCATTTGGTTATTAACTAATATATGCATTTATTTAAGGAGCGACCCGCTCCAACAAAATAGTTACAAAAATGAAAACGCGAGTGGGGGAGGCATGATGGGGGGTGGGGGGCAAAGGTGGTGTGATCGTAGCCAACCAATAGGAGGGCGCCATTCCAAAAAAAAAAAAAGCAAACGGTGACAGAGTTGATTAGGAGATGAGGAATGACGCTCGTAACTGTATATAGAATTCTCTATTAGCACATCATCTACCTTATGATTTCTTCTGTCTGCTTATGTTGTTGCTTATTTGTTTAATGTATATGTTTATTCAATTATCTTTTTCTTAATTGTTTATTTTCAATTTGAAAATTCTGTTACCTACTCTACTACAATTATTGTAAATAGTTTCACGCGCAATTATCCAGATCGGATATAGCGTGTCTTATTTGCAAATGGTAATAAATAAATCTATAGGTAATATTTCAAACTATTTATCACTATAAAATTTGTATCAAATATATATATCAAAATTCGAAACTATTATAGACGCGTATGATTCTTTTTAAAAATGAACAATTTCTACTGTCGAATTTGTTCGAATTTTGATAACAGATGACGCGATAATGCATCATAATATATATATGTGATGATGAAGTGTTGACTCTCGCTATACTGTGTTGACCGAGAGGAACAGTCAGGATGGGGAGTTTTCCAGTACCTCTCTGCACCTTGGAAGACCTTTTACAGTTCTCACAAAGTACAGGCAGTCGTGGTCGAGGCAGAGTGGAAAGCTTGGGAATGTCCACACAAAAAACGAAGACACATTTGCACTAAGAAAGTTCCGTGAACAGATAAAAGTTGAGCTAGGAGCGAAAGATGGAGAGATAGAAGATTTCTTACTGGCCTACATGATGGATGAGATGGACCCGGGGTACAACCGACGTGGGCTCGCGCAGATGGTAAAGTGACTGTATTTATAGGTTAAGACGGGGGCCTTATGCGACAGGGGCCTGGATCGTCTGGTGAAACTGTACACTGACGCCGTCCTGAGAGTTTCCAATCTATCTTTAGACCTTGTTGTTTTGTGACTTCCATCTATCTCGAATTTAGACGTTTTTGACTTCTATATCTTGCTTAGCTCAACTCTTAATCTATTACAGAGTTTCATTTATTTATCCTCAGTTTGTACACAGTACATTACATATGATGATGTAATGACACATGTCAATCATGCATATAACCATTTACAGATGTGTTTCTACTATACAACAATAAAATCTTCTTATAAGTTATATACAATATGGGGTCGTTGGTTTAAATTACCATATATATATATCGTATATTTTAAACTGTATAATAATGACACTTTCTATTTACTACCACCCGATGTTTTGTATATAAACTATTTGTATTTTAACTCCTATTTGTATTCAAACTAAAAAATGGTGACGTCAAAATAAAGATCCGAAGAGATAGCGGTCAGCTGGTAGCAGGGACAGAG